AAGAATAAGCCTGTGGAAAGTTACTTCTTCAAAAGCAAAAGTATCTCATATCACCTTTTCTCCTTTTCTTCTCTTTATCCTTCATGCTACCTGCAAGATAAGGAGAAGGATAACAATCAGCCGGAACTCGAAATCAAACTTCTGATCTGGGACTGATTGCTTGGAGCTCTGATTGCTTACCTTGTCTGTCACCTCTTTCAGCAGATCCTCTAGCTCGGCGACTTGGAGGACTCCTACTACATGGTTTGTATCGCGCTTGACCAAGCCTGAAACTACAAGTAAGCGTCAAGTGAAATTGATACATTACCTTGTGCATCTCCACCAGTTAAAGATACCACCCCTGGAGGGAGGAAGAGTACTTCCAAAGAAGATGCCACATCTACCTATGAGACAGATAAGGCAAGTGAAGACAATACCACACTTCGGTACTTAAAAGTTTCGTGATTACGAGATCATTCTTCCACAATATTTCCTAATGTCATTTGTACTAATTCATTCACTTGTACTCACTAAAGGAGAGCTTGTACCTATATACTGTGTAAACCCTTCACAATTAATGAGAACTCCTTTACTCCGTGGACGTAGCCAATCTGGGTGAACCACGTACATCTTGTGTTTGCTTCCTGTCTCTATCCATTTACATACTTATCCACACTAATGACCGGAGCAATCTAGCGAAGATCACAAACTTAATATTTAAGATGATATTCTTTGGTGTATGCTTTTCGCAAACGATATAGTGTTGATAGATGAAACGCAGGAAGGGGTAAACGCGAAGCTTAACCTTTGGAGAGAAGTGTTGGAATCTAAAGGTCCTCGCCTAAGCCGATCAAAGACAGAATATATAGAGTGCAAGTTCAGTGCAAACGGAGGCCAAAATGAGTTAGGGGTGAGGATCGGAGATCAGGAAATACCAAAGAGCGACCGTTTTCGCTACCTAGGATCTATCTTGCAAAAGAACGGAGAATTTGATGGAGATCTCACCCATAGAATACAAGCTGGATGGATGAAGTGGAAGAGTGCATCCGGCGTGTTGTGTGACCGTCGTAGGCCACTGAAGCTCAAGGGAAAATTTTATAGGATGGCAATAAGGCCGGCAATGCTGTATGGCATAGAATGTTGGGCGGTGAAGCATCAACACGTAGGTGTAGTGGAGATGAGGATGCTTCGTTGGATGTGTGGGCACACGAGAAAGGATAAGATTAGGAATGAGGATATCCGAGGTAAAGTAGGAGTAGCTGAAATTGAAGGAAAGAGGAGAGAAAATCGGTTATGGTGGTTTGGACATGTGCAAAGAAAGCCTACTGACGCTCCGGTTCGAAGATGTGACCACGGGACAGAGGTTCAGGGTCGAAGGGGTAGAGGAAGACCTAGGAAAACTTTGGAAGAGACCCTAAGAAAAGACTTAGAGTACTTGGATCTAACGGAGGACATGACACAAAACCGAGCGCAATGGCGTTCTAGGATTCATATAGCCGACCCCACTTAGTGGGAAAAGGCTTTGTTGTTGTTGTTGTTGTATAGGAAACACATTCTATTCATAAAAATGGACGAAATACAATGATATACCACCAAGAAGAATTGCACCAAAAGGAATATCTTTAAAATTCCTCAACAAAGATGCCCAATTGAAATCTACAGTTTGATTCAATAAAACAAAGAAATCTCACAATCGAATTTGACCAGGCCAACACCAGGCACTGGTGAAGTTTACATTACCTCAAAATATTGGACATCTTAAACCCGTTTCAGCAAACAGGGTGTCACATTTCCTTATAAATTTTAAAAATATATGACAACATCGATCAGCCTAGGTTTCAAATCTGCATATAATTTTCATACCACAACCATAATATGGAAAAAATAATGCATCAGTAATCTAACCTAATAGTTGTCAAAGAAAAATAAGAGAAATATGACAAGAAAAAAGAGATAATTGCCTTTAAACTTAGTTTCGGTACGAGTTCTTGTGAATCTTGACCATGATCTGCACTCCAAACTACGAGCAAACCATCACTACCCCCAGAAACCAGAAGTGCCTGCAACAAAGTTTAGATATAGAAACAAGAAGCATTTAAACACATGCATCCAGTACGTTGATACTGATGAGCACTCATAACAACCCAGCATCTCAATATTGTAATTCCTAGATTTTTTTACAACCTACATCATGCTGCAGAGTGAATGGAAAAATTACTTTCACCAAAGTGTTAAATGAATGAACTTGAAGAATAAGGAGATAAGGAGATAATAACATTTTATGAAGCTCCAGAGGCACAATCAATGTAATACATCAAGCCACCTATGGTATTTGAACACTCAGACACAAACTAAAATAGTAAATAAATAATAATAAAAAAAGTTCACAAAGAAAGATAGCATAAACACATGCAATAAAGCAATTTGATTTCATCTTTTAGAAGTAAAAATCTACCTCGCCAGAAGAAGCCACAAATGTCATCAAACAAGCTATGGATCCTTTATGACCTCCTGTGTATCTTCTTACAAGCTGCAGGAAGCAAGTATATCACTCAAAGCGAGGGATAGTTATAGCCAGCATGTTAGAAAATTTGGAAAAACGCAAACCTTCCATGTCATCATTGAAAGTACTCTAATAACACCATCTGATCCACCAAAAGCAACAAGAGGAACATCCGCAACAGCGGATCTAGAAAGGAATTCCATACTGCAAGATCCATAGAGGGAAACAAGAAACAGAGCACAAAATATGTCAAAAACAAAAACAAAACTCGAAGTTTGTTAATCTTATTACGAAAAAAAAATAAGAGAATCAGTGTTAAGGTATTATGAATGCCACTTCTTCAAATGTATGAAAAATATACATAAACATACAGAAAAATAGTAATGACTTACCAGAGCAGTGATTTATTGTCAAGCTCCGATTTCGGTACATCACGGCCTCACATTGTTACCAAGTCCAAAAATATGGCTTTGTTTTCACAACAAATGACAAGAAAATGTCTTCCTTTAGTTGATGGGGGCAGGAGAACTAAAAGCTGATGCAACATTACTGACAGCTGTTGGAGCCTCAGCAGCTGTAGAGCGGTTACACCAAAGTTGCCAATAGCGCACGTCATCATCAAAGAAGTTTACCTGCTTAACACTTTAAAGGAAGCATATGCCCTCAGTGTGTGTCTAGGTTTCAATAAAGAGAAATGGACAATAATACAATTGCAGTGGTCTATTACCTCCCTCCACGAATGGCTTCTGTGGGCTTCCCTTTAGACTCTATCAACCAAAAGCAAACACAACAATTAAAGATATATATATATATATGTGTATATATATATGTGTGTGTGTATATATATATATGTATATATATATATGTATGTATGTGTGTGTGTGTGTGAGATTCTCTGGTTTAACAGTGGAAGTTTAGAAATCTTAAACAACTACTGAGACAAACTAGCTCTCTTGTTGTCCAAATATCATATTTTGCCAGGGTTCGAGCTACAGATATGAAACAAAACAATTGAAAGACGACAACTTTCAAACTCACATAAAAATCTGTGCATTGATCTTAAGTTTAATTGTGCCAGTCATTGATTTAAGAGCAGCTAATTATAACACCTCTGAGATTTCCCGACCAGAAATTATAGAATCCCAACTGGATAAACTGAGTTCGACGTTGATGCTTAAGTTGAACGGTACATTACCTTATCTTACACCATAAGGCAATCAATGATGGATATGGTTCTGCTGAGTAAATGCAAGAACTAATAGAGTTAACTCTGTCCGAAATCGCATATCTAGTTTTACAAATGAAATGTTAGCGAAATTGGCAGTCTTCTTCAATGTACTTCTGCAAAAGCATTTAGCTTCTCTAAGCTAGATTTTTCCAATTAGGTCTCAGAATTTCAGAAGCAGCACAAAATTGAACACAATTCCAATCGACTTTCACGAGCCTCGCAGCAACTAAATCCAAATTTCAGGATTAAGTACCTGATTCCCCCTCCGCGAGCTTCTCCAACTTGGCGCCAACCAAACGCCTCTGATCGACGCTGCCAGCTTTGAGCTCGTAAATCACCTAATTCGAATCCATCACAGTCGAATCACGAACACGAAGTGTATAAATTGAAGAGACAAGAAAGAGAGAGGGGTACCTGACGGCGTTCCCAATTCCAAACGGAGACGTGATCGGAGGCGTCGGCGGTGACCAGCCATGGATGCGTGGGATGCAACTGAATCTTGACGATCTTCTCATTCGTCGGCCGGAATGCTCGTAACCGCAACATTTATCTGATTCGATTGAAATGCGAAATCGATCGAAAAGCAGCTTACTTGCTCAGTTTGAGATCCAACAGCAAATTTTCTTACGCCCTAGAATTTGAGAGAAGCAGCAGAAGAAGACGAAGAGAGATGGTCAGTGGAATTCAAACTCCAAATGCCAAATGCAATGAGATCGGACCTCCTTTCTTTTTCTCTTAATTGCAGCGACTTCTGCCGTTAATCTGTTTGTTTTGACTACATCACAAACGGACCTTTTCTTGCTGTGAACAAATTTCCCGCTTTCTTCTTTTATTTTTCCTGCTAAAAGCTTCTGACAATTAAATTTTAAAAATTTATATTTTCCATCAAGAAAAATTATATTTAAATTTTTTTGTAGTACAAAATTATATTTAAATATTAATTGTTCTATTTTTATATTAGAAAAACAAATATTTATATTTTTTGTCAAATAAAAATTCATATCTGAGAATTTTCCTTCAGGAATTTTAATAGATTTATAAATTTGTGAAATTTGATGAAATTTATTAAAAGAATTAAAATATTTTAAAATTCTAATTGAATACGTTCTTCATGTTACAAGTCTTTTTTTGAGAATCTTTCATATCACAAATCTTAAAATTCAATAAATTGTGAAGCATTGATAAAACGATATAAAAAAAACAACGATTTTCTAAAAATGACACGTGGGAATGAATTAGTAAAATTTTGGCCAAGTGTGGTCTGACACTGCGCTAACTGTCTCGTAGAGCCATTGATCTCTCCTGTCTTCCATGAAACGCCATCACAAAATTGTTCCACCATGTTTCTCTGTCTATTTCATTAGGCTCAGGTGACAGGTACTCTCTCTCTCTCTCTCTCTCTCTCTCTCTCTCCAATTTGTGATCCATTAGGGAAATAACTTGAATCCGTTCCATGAATTGTTGTCTGCTCTGCTGGGATTTCTCCATTAAAACAATGTTTGTCAGATACCAAAACCATTGTCAGGAACTTAGAATGAATCTTGAGAATTAAATATTTCTTATGACATTGTTGATCGTAAATAAATTTTTATTAGTTTTAATTTTAAAAGACTTCTTTCTGCTGAAGCAACTGTCACCCTCTTGCATCATACACGACTACATGAGGCCAGTTGTCAGGTAACCAGAAAGAAAACCTAAGTCATTGTTTTCTAATAATTACATATGTAGCTCGAAGAGGCCAGTCGGCCATGGCAGTTTGCTCACTCTCTTGCATCACGTTCGAATCCCCTATCAAAGTAGTTTAGAATAGCTTTTGTCAAAAAGAACATATGTAACTATCACATTGTCTTCTCTATAAACTTTCTAGTTTGGTTCAAGAGCATTACTGAGAGATTTAATGAGAATTTTCTCTTCTTCTAGTTGAAAGGGTTTTGATTGTTGCTCAAGTTACAAGAAACCGAAATGCCGGCTTCCATAAGGTTTTGATCTATCATTTTCATAAATTCTCACATGAACTATAAATATTTTGTTATCTCAATTGGAGTTTTCTATTGCTTCATTGAGATTTTCTTGTGTATCATGTTTCTGAGCCGTAAAACTTTACCCATGGAACTGCAGCATGGATGAGAATATGGGGTTCCAGTACGGAGTTTCCAGGCCAGGGCTTAATCCACCAATTCAATTTGGGAATGGATTTTGTGGAGCAGGGTCAGGACTCATTCGAGGCGGATTGGGTGCGTATGGAAAGAAAATTTGTGGTTCAAGTTCTCAGTATGTTCAAAGCAATGTAAGAATCTCTGCTAAATTTAGGGTAATGCGCATTACGACAGCTGATGGTGTAGAAGTCGTGCGATACACATACAAAATGAATGTTCTGTGGAAAATGACGATGATTTTTGTCTGTGAATGTTATTTTGCTTTACTGTTTTGTCCAAAATGTGCAGATAAGCAAATACTTCTCAGATCCTCAATACTACTTCCAAGTGAACTCCCACTACGTCCGAAACAAACTGAAGATAATTCTGTTTCCATTTCTGCACAGGGTATGTAGAAATTTGAACTTAAGGCTGCCAATGACCCCTATTAGCTACTCATAAACAGATCTGTTAAAACTTCTAATTTTCTTAATTTTCTATATCTCATTTTGTTTAGGGGCACTGGACGAGGATGACAGAGCCAGTTGGAGGCAGGCTTTCGTATAACCCTCCAATTACTGACATACATGCCCCAGACCTGTACATTCCATTCATGACATTTGCAACGTACTTGGTTCTCGCTGGGATCTCACTAGGCCTTTCTGGGAAGTAAGTCTATAGCATCCTCAAAACCTGATATTTAAGCAGCGTAAGTAGTTTTAATTTTCCCAATAAATGTCATGACATATGCTTCGACATTTCCTGTTCTTATCCCATGCCAGATTCAGCCCAGAGGCTATAAATTGGCAGTTTGTGAAGGGAATGGTGGGTTGGCTACTCCAAGTGATGTTGCTCAAGGCATCGTTGTCTTCGCTTGGGGGTGGAGAGGCACCTTTGTTAGACATGATAGCATATACTGGGTACACTTTCACAGGGTTGTGTGTGGCGGTTCTAGGGCGAATCACGCTAAGCTATGCTTACTACTTGATAATCATATGGACATCCATGTGCTCAGGCATCTTCTTGGCAAAGACAATTAAGATAACTTTGTATGCTGAGATCAACAGTTATGATGCAAACATGCATCATTATCTGTTGCTAGGTATCGCGTTTTCTCAGTTCCCGTTGATCATCTGGCTGAGCAACCCTACCGGGAATTGGTTTTCCTGAACCTGCAATTTCAACGCATATATGCTCGTTGCTCAGATTTTCTGCGGTAGCATATGAACATCTTGTCGTGTGCATAGCTAGGACTTGAATTCGTTTTTAAACTGCGGTTGCAGGAGCTCATGTATTCCAGGAATTCTTTCTCGTACTAATCTCATTTGTAGTATTGTTGCAGAATTAGATTGGTGATTTAGTTATCAGGATTGATAACTTCTAATGGAAGTGGATTGCATTTTTGTGTTCTTTGCTTAGCATTTGCTTACCAAAATCTTAAGTAGGCTATACGTGACAAATTACATTATTATCTACACGTATCACAAAGATTAAGAACTAAAATTACTTGATCATATTTACTAATCACATGCTCAGAAGCGGTTACCAAATGTTAAACATGTAGCTTTACTCAAAGCAAATATAGACAAATAGGTTTCACCTTCTTATGTAGTTTTGATATAGGCTGGGTACTTCTAATTCTTTCAGAGGTGATGAGAATTTATTGGTTAAAAAATTAGGTTGGGGATAGGGGTGTGTTTATTGTCAACTCTCATTGAGAAATTGTTGTCGACTACGAAATTCTACTGCATGTACAACCAATTCATATGTTATAATTTAACTTTGGTCTAATTGTGTTTTGGATGGATTTGGAAATGTTACAACTAAAAGCATTCATGAAAGCGTCTGGTTAAATAGTTAAGAATGTGTTGGGGGCTATAGAAGCGTTTTCTAAAGAAATAAAAAGCGTTGGAGTTCTAATATGAATTTGAAACATGTTTTTAATGAAAGTATTTTCAAAAAAAGCACACCATAACCTGACATAATAATTTAGTATTAAATTCATCATCCATCAAATTCGAATCTAAGGTCACGTGAAGCACACTCGAACCTGACATAATAACTTACAAATAAGAAAAATATCAGATACTACCCTACAGTGTTTAACATATTAACAACATGGAGAAATTTTTTTAGTATGCCAAAAAGACGTCCGTTACACTAAATATCATAATACAAGTAGTTGTATACTTAAATTTTATTTTCTTTAATCACTTATATTAAGATATTTGGTGTATTGACTATAGGTAAGTAAGGAACTGAAAAGTCCCTCGACAACATGAAAGAGTAGTGCGTTGGACCTCGGCGCGTTTGGTTACTTGGTGAATGAACCGCCAAAAATATGAGTTGCTCAACGACAACGGTTACATTGAACTCAGCATTCCCGCGAAATTCAAATCCAAAACCCAGGGATTCCCAAAACCGGAGAGAAACAATCTCTCTAATACAAAAATGCAAACAATTTCATCAGGTTCCGCCAATCCACGCAAAAATCATAAGATATTTCCAAGTCCAAGACCCATTCGTCGTCTTCGAGCTTCTTCGCCTCTGCTCCAACCTCAACTCAATCGACCACGCCACCAAAATTTTCCAACAAATTCAAACCCCAAATGTCTACCTCTACACTGCTCTCATTAACGGGTTCGTGTCGACTGGGTTTTGCCTCGATGCGATTCGGGTTTACTGTCGAATGGACAACGAGTCTGTTTCACCGGATAACTACGCGGTAACTTCTGTGTTGAAAGCTTGTGGCTTTGGGTTGGCGTTGGAGGAGGGGAGAGGAGTCCATGCGCAGGTTTTGAAGCTTGGGTTGTCATCGAATCGCTCAGTGAGGATGAAGCTTCTGAATCTTTATGGAAAGTGTGGTGAATTTGAGCATGCACGGAGGGTGTTCGATGAAATGCCTGACAGGGATGTCGTTGCGTCAACAGTGATGATCACTTCTTTTGCTGATTATGGGTTGATTGAGGAGGCGATTGGGGTTTTTAACCGGGCTAGGAGTAAGGATACGGTTTGTTGAACTGCGATGATTGATGGGTTGGTTAGGAATGGGGAGATGAATAGGGCTTTGGAGGTGTTTAGGGAGATGCAGAGGAATAATGTGAGGCCTAATGAAGTTACTGTTGTTTGTGTTTTATCTGCTTGTTCGTATTTGGGAGCATTGGAGCTCGGAAGATGGGTTCACTCTTACATAGATAAGTATGACATCGAATTCAATTACATTGTAGGTGGTGCTCTGATTAATATGTGTTCGAGGTGTGGTGATATTGATGAGGCACTGGCAGTGTTTGGTAAGATGAAAGAGAGAGATGTGAGTAGTTATAATTCCATGATTGAGGGGCTTGCTATGCATGGGAAGAGCATTGAGGCTATCCAAATGTTCCAGACAATGATAAAACAAGGACCAAGGCCAAATAGCATTACTTTTGTTAAAAGTATTGAATGCACGTAGCCATGGAGGTTTGTCGGATTTGGGTTTTGAGATATTTCATTCCATGACTAGTATTCACGGAATTCAACCACATATAGAACACTACGGATGCATGATTGATCTTCTAGGTCGCTCAGGTCAGCTTGAAGAAGCTTACAATTTCATTGCAAGAATGAAAAGTGCTTGTAAAATCCTTGGGAACCTCGAATTAGGAGAAAGGGTAGGCGAAATTTTGGTGAATTGTGGTAACGTAGATTCGGGAACTTACGTACTGCTATCAAATGCATATGCTTCATCAGGGAGGTGGAAAGAGACTGCACAAGTGAGAGCAGAGATGAAGGAAAGTGGAACCCCAAAGGAGCCTGGTTGTAGCTTGATTGAAGTAAACAATGAGATCCATGAGTTCCTCTTGGGAGACCTCAGACACCCGAAGAAAGAGGAAATCTACAAAAAGTTAATGGAGCTAATCCATGAACTGAAATCGGAAGGATACTTGCCCGCAACAGAGGCGGTTTTGCATGATATGAAGATACGCAAAAGGAATTGGTGTTTGCACTCAAAATATACCCATTTTTACTTATTTGGGCAATTTGAGTAAAATATGGCATTTGGAGGATTAATATGCAAGAAAGCTAAATTTGGAAAGATATTTGGCTTCAAGTGGAGGGGTTTGGCACTATAATATTGTTTCTCCCATTTGTTTGGGTGGTGGAGGTTTGCCAAGAGAATTGTTTAAACAAGATAAGTGCATGCTTTTTCATACAAGTGGGTGGAGAGACACCATGCATGCTTTCGGGCAAGAATGTGTGATGAAAGAAGCCAACTAGCCAACTTGTTTATTTTAAATGTTAGTTTATTACAAGTGGGAAAACATGTGCTAAAAACATGTGGTGGAGATGCAATTTCCCCTTTTAATATTGTTTCTACATGCAAGTTGGCAAAAGCAATGCAAGCTACCCAAGTAAGGAAATGCAAGCTGCCCAAGCTTCTTTCGGGCAAGTACAAAACCTCAGCAGGAGGGTTTCCTCCAGACCTCTATAAAAAGGAGCAGATGCACAAGGATTATGGACACTCAATCAAACAAACAAAAGCACAAACTCTGCTCAAAAAGCCAGATTTGCCTTTCAAAACGAAGCTGTAGTCAGCCCATGCCGTCATCCCATTCGGGACAAGCCTTCATCCCCCACGGGATAATCTTCTCTCCCAACCTCTGTAATAGCTCTGCTACCTTGTTCAAACTTGTTGTAGTATCGATTCATCCTTTGTATTCTCTTTTTTCCCTCTCCCCCTTAAGCTTTCAGACCTTTGACAGAACTACAAAGATAGGGACCTGCAAGACGATCAGCCTTAATTGATAAGGTTTAATCTTGCCCAACCTGCTTTGCTCTGTCTTTGTCTTCTCTTTCTTTAAAGTCTAGCAATATGTTGTATATTTCCAGTTATATGCAAGTCATTTCTAGCAAAATTACGATGACAAAGCTCTCTCAGTACTTGGATCCGATTTGAATATATCTTTAGTGTTTAAATCAGATCCAAGTCCTAAGCCCTCGGGCATGTAAATCTGATTAGTTTAAAAGTCCTTGGCCTCAAGGCATAAAAAAGAACTTTATGTGGACTTAACCCATCCACGACAATCCTTGATAAACGAGAAGTCCGAAGTTACTTGGGGCGCAAGTAATCGACCTACCGCTTGGTTTTATTTCTATTATATCATGATTATCATAGAACGCTTAAGTATGGAATGAATTCTGATAGGAAGCCTCAAGGCCTACACCTAAGGCCCCACAAAGGCACTTATTTGGATTCATTCTATTCGGCGGTCTAGATGGTTTGAGTATAAGAACGGACTCTAATGGGAAGCCTCAAGGCCTACTCCTAAGGCCCCACAAAGGTACATATTTGGGTTCGCTCTACCTCTCAGACTCGGATAATTAGAAGTATAATAGTTATAAGATTCCGACAACCATAAAGACCAAATATGATATGTTCAAGTACTGGTTTAGTTTGACAGGAAGCCTCAAGGCCTACACCTAAGGCCCCACGAAGGCACCTGTTATATCTAACACGGTTTCTCGGGCATATGCATATTCACAACTAAAACTTGATATCCATTCGACATCTGCCATGCTAAAGATGGCAGTGGCACGCCTGAGCACCTAAATGTTAACCTTGATTGTGAGCCTCAAGGCCTACACCTAAGGCCCCACAAAGGCACATTTCAAAGTTAACGTTGTCCTTCTCTTTCAGCCTTGCCCGAAGAGTCTTGCCCGACGAGACTTGCCCGACAACAAAGCAGAAGCCCGACAGCAGCCCTCAACCGGCGCCAACCTCCAGGGGAGCTGTGTGCTCGTCGGCCAGGAAGTCATCCCCGACGGGAATTCCTGCCACGAACATAGTTTTGGCACGCCCGGTGGGATGCTTATATGAAGTTAGATCATGAACAATCCTTATGTTCATGATTTTTTGGAGGATGACGGTGTGGAAGAACGCCCAAGCTATGGCTATCACATAGAGCCAACCTATGAGTTGCCAACTTATAGGTACATGGCTAATGAATACTCAAGTCCCGTGAAGCATGATTGTCGGCCAACTAATGGCCATCAAATAAATAATAATCTTGAAGATTGGCCAACTTATGGCTATGATGAAGGTTATTATTCTTTTGAAGACAATCGCATTCATGAATACTATGATAGGCCAACAAATGGCTTTGAGTATCAAAATGCTTCCAATGAGTACATAGAGCCAATATATGAGATGCCAACTCATGATCATCCGGATGAAAAGCTCTACAAAGAGGATGTGGGCAAATTAGAGAAGATGTCCAAACTCCATGTGGCAAGCATCGAATATGGTGAAGAGGTGACTAAGTGTTTTAAAAAGGTGGAGGAAAGCTATACAACTTTTGGAGAAACTTTGAGAAAGTTGATAGATCAAATGTGTCAAACCCCCTCT